CTTATGATGGTGTAGTCAAAGGATGGGTGACCTTCCGGGAAGTGATTTTTCGAACTGTGTGAGTGAGGCCATAACACTGCGAAAGATCATGTGATGATTTCTAGGATCGGTAAACAAATTTCTAAGCCTCTCGGACATTGTTAACCGGCCGTCAAATATTAATGGGCTCATGAGCCTAGTGAGAGGACGTGAAGCTCATTAAGGGAGGTGGGCCCATGGGCTGGTGGTGAACATGGGGCCCACTGGAGAGATGGCGGTCGGGACGATACAGTTACGGTGTGATTGGGTTTTACAATTTCGACTAGGTGGGTGCTTAGATTTTGGGTGAGGAGAAGAAGCGGTGGATATGTACGGCGAGAAGAAGGAGAGGAGAAATTTCTACTAGATGACGGCGAACATATTGGGTGTGGCTAGGGTTGCAGAAGATGATACGATGAAGATGACTAAAAAATACAATAATGTCCTTTATTAAAACAAACTTATAGACGTACACTAAAAAAAAGAATGTCATGTAGGTATATCAAACCACAAACTTACAATACATACCCTTTATTAAAACAAACTTATGGACGTATACAAAACAAAATAAAGTTATGTACGTATAGTAAACCGCAACATACACTAAAAAATAACCTTACATAGTACATACGTATATACATGATGAATTTTATACAAAAAAAAAAGATGGGGTCAATGAGTTTAACAATTACAAAAAAAAAAAAATTTTACAATAAATATTGTGATATGACTATGGCCGGTTATATGACTATGGTCGAACAAGTCTCAGAGCACGTAATGGAGGAAGCCGTTGACAAGGAGCAGCACGAAAACGTTGAGGAGAAACACGAAGAAAAGGAGCAGCACGTCGCCGAGGAGCAGCTCGAAGCGGAGGAAGCACTAGTCATCTCGGAAGGTCTTCTAACACGCTCAAGGCTTAAGGAGCTCAACCCATCAACCAATGGAAGACTTAGGGAGCTAGACAAGAAGGAATAGTCATGGTTCAAGTCTCCCTCATGATGATCACCGCGCAAGAGGTTCGATAAAGGGTTAACTGTTGCTTATGCACTCTTTTTCCTTGTCAAGTTTTGTCCCAATGGGTTTTCTTGACAAAGTTTTTAATGAGGACTAAGTAACACTTCCAAGGCCTTTTACCAAGCCCAATTTGTGGGTCCAAGGCCATCACTTTTCCTTGGCCCATTATCTATCTTTTCTCTTCATTCTTGCATTTAATGTTTTTGTAATTTCCAAAACATTTTGCATGAACATGAATGAGTGTAATTTCCAAGACACTTGTGCATTTTCTTCTTCTCATCCATCCTCTTCTCCTATATAATCCCCCTCTTCCTCTCATTTCTTTGGTGTGTAATATCCTTAGTGAAGTCCAAGTTCGGAAAATTAAAGGCTCTTCCGCAACCTTTGTGCGACCATTCCCTCCACATTCTTTGGTCTAAGTGATCCCCCGATCCCTTAGGTGCAAAGCCTATCCTTCCCTCAACTTTCCGAGTGTCGATTCTAGGAGGATCGTATTATATTGTGTTTTGGATTTTCAAACAAAATAATTTGTCTATAGATTTTGGAGAAGTTTATTTTTTCTTAGATTATTTGTTGTGTCTCTCGAAATTCTCCAGCGAGTAGAAGAGAATGTACACTTGGTTAAATACTTCATAAAATAGTTTTTAACTCAAAGTGAGTATCTTGAATCTCTTGAAATTATCCATCGAGTAAAAGAGAAGGTTCACTTGGTTTAATACTTCAGAAATATTGGTCCTTAACTCAAAAATGTGTATCTTGAATGTTTTGTAAATGAATATGTTTTGCATGTTTTGATTGAATATTTGTAAAATTTTAAATGTAATTTGTACATACAAATTATTTAAATATGTACTACATAAGTATTATTTTTAACTAACAAATACTTCACAAAGACCCGAGCCGTTTTTTTTAAAATTCATTATTTAAAAGTCTCTTACCTATTAAATAATCTAACCGCATTAACCCACCAATAAACAATCATGCACAGCGGAAACATATCAATCCAACACTAATTAATTTATTAATCAATCAATCATTCAATAACCACAATTTCACCAGTCACCTATCATGCATCTAAATCAAGTTCCAACAAAAATTAACATAATCATAAATATATAAGCTGAGACCCTAGATCATGCTCCTCCTCATTGTCATGATTCCCACTTCACACTTTACCTGCACCACAAACACAATGAGATGCGTGAGTATTAGCACAAATACTCAGTGAAGCTATCCTCCCATTAACTAGGCTATACACACAAGCACTTCAAATTACAGCCATACATCAACAATGTCACAAACAGCCAAAATAGGCAATCAAAAGTACAAATTACGCTCACAGAAAACGGGTGTCGGTCGATACCACAGACAGCACCACCAAATTGCACTGTGATCGACACCCACCTAGTGTCGGTCGACACCTACACCCTGAAGCTCATCCAACGACGATCTCAGCCACCAAAGAATCCTAATAGCACCATCACATCACCTCCCACGACGACACAACATAATAACAGTCATACAAGGCCACACAAACACCAGAAAACATCACAAACACAAAGGATTCAATTCACACATCACATAAAAACAAATCACGCAATCTTAACGCTTTGATAAGCCATAGTCACGCACTCACCTCTGATTTGGATTGGAAGGATGGACGAAACAGAGAAGAAGAACATTCTAGCAACCTCTCTTCACACCCACAACCACGAATCCCACTGATCCCTTGCTAGAAAACTGAAGAACAGCCTCCAGAAACCTCTAACAAGCCTCCCCTTAGCACCTTAAGATCCACCTTCACTCAGAGCTCTCTCTTCTCTCTTTTGGAAAGCGACAAAAACACCAAAATGTGAAGAAGAAAGATGGCTGCTCTAGTTTAAGTCGACCTAGGGTTGCTCCCAAACCAAAATTGAGTCAAATCGACGATTAAAAAGCTAAACCGTCTAACCAATTTAGAATTACCCAACCTCTAAAAAAAACTTAAAAATTAAACCATAGACTACATGTGGACTCCATGAGTGTACTTATATGTGCAACAACCTCTAAACATTAAACCATAAACCGTATATGTACACGAGATTGAATTAATGTACACAATGCTTACATACAAACTAGGTGACAATTGTGGCAAGATACCTAGAAGACATAGCTTATATTTTCTGCATCTCTACAACTATGTTCAACAGTGGGTTTATTAGGAAGATTAAATATACTAAAAACCACCAATTTATTGAGTACAATAAGTGTTACTTTCTCCCAACAAGTATTTCAAGAATATTTGAAACAATTTCGAATGACAAGATTTAAAATCTGTCTTAAGCATATGTACACAATCATATTGACTTAAACGTATGTACATATTCTTGTATACGTACACGATTATTTTGACTTAAATATATGTCTCAAATATTTTAGGTTTTTAGTGGTTGCTAAACATCATAATGTTATGGACGTATACAAATGACATGTACACGAAGCAAAAATATCATGATTAACGTACATATACTAAACCGCAACATTTGCTAAACAAGATAACATGATCAGTTTCTCTTATCTCAAGACTAAAGAAGGAAAAACTTTTCTTTTTCGACGACGTAGTTTCCTTTTTCCTCAAGTCGGCATATCCCTCATTCGTGGAGTCAATTCACTTAGTATATGTGTAGAGTCTTGGATTCTTGCAAGGAATAATCTTCCGAATCCCTTTCTCTAACCTTCGGTGTTTGTGGAATCAAGAATCAAATTGTTTATTGAGCATTTGAATATGAGTCTTATTTTGGTGAAATCAAGAATTTGTTTCAAATTTATGCTTAACCTTCATTTTCTTTAAAAATTAATCTTCATTTCTTAAATCCCTATTTCATAATTTCATTGACGTTGCTATATAAATTAACCTTGGAAATCTCAATATGTAACCCAAATAATAGAATCCATACATCAACTTATTGTTTCTCATTCTGCCAAATACCACAATTTCACTAACAATATCATAAGACCACCTCCATCTGTTTATACTAATGAGAGGTACTCCAAGGACAATAAAAATATTCTTTTATTGATTTTTTATTACTTTAACTTTTGAATCTTCGACATATGTCCGTTTTTGTTTAGTATCGCTTCTAAAGTATCCCTTTGTAGTACCGCTTCTGTCTCTCTCTTTAACTTTTTTATTTTTTTAATTATTTTGTTTAGGATACCTTTTAAAAACGCTAGTGGACATGCTCTAAGAGTGATACATTTGCTATTCATATTGTAAAAAAAAAGATATTTACTATTTGAAATGGTGAGAATAAGGAAAGTGAATACGATACTGCAACCTTCAGTTACACAAATCTTTATGTGTGATTAATTAACTTACCTCCCTAATTAGCCTCACACAAGAGTTTGATTTGTTATGATTACCATCTTGTCTCTCACGTACACAACTTATTGTGTACGAACATGTTTTGAAAAAAATGTTTAATATAAATACAATTTATTCAAATGTGTATGTACAGATGTACACACAAAATATTACCATGTACGTGTATAATAATTGTAATATTTGAAACTGTTTCAAATGACAAGATTAAAAAAACATATATATAATTCCAATAATTAGGAATATGGATCTTAAAAGATAGAGAAAATTAAAATTCACTTAAATTACATTTTTTTTATTAAAGTGTAAAGATAAAAATGGAAAAACAAAAGAAAATATAAATCATTTTTCTCTCTCTCTCTCCTAATATATTATTCTTATTTTTTCTTTTCTAACTAGATGCAAAAACGAGGGTAGTGTAGCTAAATATACTAGAAAAATTTAGTTACCTTAGGCCATCTTTAAAGGCATATCCGTTCGGGCCTTAGGGCAATATTAAAAAGCCTAAAATTCGAAATAGTAAGATGGCAAGATCCATCCGGTTGTTGGGTAAGAAGTTTTTGGAGTGGTGTCTTATGCCACGTGGCTCTTGCTGATAGGGTAAAGATTAAGTAAACAAAATGATTTTTTTTTTCTTTGGTCAAACCGATGAAAATCCCCTCAATATCTCTCTGATTCGATTTGGGTGTCTTTTTGATTTGGTTTTATATCGTTCAATTGCTCGGTGATTGAAATCGGAATCGAGTGTGATTGAGAGGTAGGAGAGAGGAGGATAATGGCTCAAGTCGTAGAAGAATGGTACAAACAGATGTCGATTATAGCGCGGTCGTATCTCACGGCGGCTGTAGGCACCACTGCGGATGTTCGCTCGAGGTTTGAAAGTTTTCTTGCTCATTAAGCCTTATAATTTTGCTCTTATTGATCTGATTATTATTATTTTGGGTTGAAAATTTGAATCTTTGTGTTTATGTATTTGAGGATGGTTTTGTTTTGTTGTAAAGGATCACTCTTTATTGGAGTTTTGGTAGACAATGGTTCATTTTAGAGCTGAGTGATGTTTTGTTGTGGGACATTTTTTGCAGATTATATCTCCTTATAATCTCTAACTTAATCTTATCGTTGTGGTGAAGCAATACCAGTTCTTGCGCCTCGTTACAAATTTTCTATATTTCCGGAATATGGGTAATTTTCTTGAACTCTTGTATTATATACATTTGTAGTATTTCTGAGAAATTTTTGTCTCTTACTACTCTAGGACTATATTTTGCATATGTGATTGTCTTCCTTGGAGTATTAGGATCTTCTGTTCCTGATAGATGGCTTGTTTTTGTAGCTGAATTCATAGTTCTGTCTGAAGTTTTACTTTGTAGAAGAAGTGTCTGATGTTAAGAAGTTGAAGAGCCCGTTTCTATTTTTGCTACAGTTATGTTATTTTGGACTTTTTGTTCCATATGTTATTTCTTGCTAGAAGATACTGCTAACTCCTCGAAGAAAACTCCTTCAGGGGAAAGACTGCAGATTTCCTTTACATGCTCTTATTTGGGGCAACTGTTTTAACTGGTATTGTTCTCATTGGTGGAATGCTACCTTATTTGTCTGTGTCATTCTCCAAAATCATCTTCCTCAGCAATTCTTTGACTTTCATGATGGTAACACTTCTATCTTTCGATTTCAAATCTAATTTACTAAATGGCTGCCTTCTCCTTCTCCTTTGAACAAAACCGTTTTGGCTTTATTATGGATATGTTATCTTAATGAAGCTGTGATGTGCGCGTTACATTTTAAGCTTTGGATACACTTAGAATTTTATTTTCTTTATCTTTTAATTTTCAGTTCAATTTTATGTTTATTTTTATAAGTTTTCAATGTAAAAGTTATTTATTTAATTTTAACAATTAAAAATATGTTTTACAATATTATATTCTTAAAATTTTAAGAAGCTTGAGGTTCAACCAATAATCACCTCTATATTTGCGGTTCTTAACTTAACCTCTTACATTATAAATATAATTACAAATATCTAAGATACATCTTTCTACTTACACCCTTAAAGATACTCTTAGGGAATTTCCTACTCCAATATATTATAGTCAAAACTCTATTATAGAATAACATTTGCTCCAACCATACTCTATAACTTACTTTGAAATAGACTAAATTATAGAGTTTATCTATACTCAACTTGTAAACGGCGAAGAGAAGAAAAGTTCAGCTTTATTGATCTAGGTAAAAAAACGTGACTACAAGGCTGCGAATGGGACTTTATTAATAGTCCTTCAGCCGTGACCTTCAAGGGCCGAGATTCAATCTCACGAATTCAACAGATACAAAACAAAGTAAAGAAATAGCTAAAAAAATGGAAACTTGTGTCATTCGCACAAGTGAATCCTCTCCACAGGTTGGAGGCTTTGGATTCGACTCCTTAGGACTCTAGACTCAAAGAAACAAAAGAGGGTCGTGATAGATCCTGCAAACAATTAAGAGAAAATGGAAATAATAAAGACCGAACTTACCTTATTCGAAGGAATGAGAGGCCACGTAGCTATCTTCGGTTATTCGACGTCTTCTTCACCTTGGCTCTTGTTTTCTTGACTATCATCAGCTTTGTACAAGCCTATATGGTCAAACCCTCCATCCTCGGTGTCGCAGGTCTTGTTTGTGCTGATACGAAGGCATTAGGGCTCCTCTCGACCATCTCCCAATCCGTCTCGTTTTTGGGCATCTTTGCTTCGATGGTTAGCTCCAGAAGCATCACTTATAGAGTGAATATTGAAGCCCAAGCGGTTTGGGTATTCTTTGTTCACGGCTTTACTCCGTACAAGCTTTCTGGCGGCTATGGACGGTGCTCTGCGTGTGTCTTCATGTTCCGCAGGGTGTTTCTCAAAACGGTCTCGATTGAAGCTATTAAAATCATCACTTTGTCGATGAATTTCGATTCCCTTGGCATTTGGTGGTAGGTCGTCCGGGTCGTCCGTTCGTGCGCTCGTGTCGTCGATGCCGGGTGGGGTGCTTGATAGACTTGTGTTTCTAGGAGGTTTTCTGCAAAACCGGCTCGTTCATTAGTCTTAAAATATGGACTTGGTCGGTGAAACTCACCTTCTTTTTCCTGTTCTCCATCGTTTGGTCGATGGAACTCATTGAGGCTCCTTCTCGCATTCGGGGGTCGAGGGTCGGTCGATAGAAAACCCATTTGGCCCGTTGTGTTGATCAGTGCCTCAACTCCTTCATTGAACGTCTCTCTTAACTTCCTTGTACGTGAACGGGTCATTGGTCCAGCTATGACCGTAGGAATTGTCGGTATAGGGTCACCAGTCGCCGGTTCAAGGTCGTACGTTGAGCACTTGTCTATATGCGGTCCTATGTCCTCATCAAGAAGCTTTTTCTTGAGACCTACCGAGATTTACATTATAAGAAGCATGTCTAGGAAACTATAATTCCCACTTAAGAGAAAAGTCAAGCAGACGCTACATTGAAGGAGATAATTTAATTGCAATCGATACCAAAATAAGAGATAACTAAAACAAAACTAAAATAGAGCTAAAAAAGGGAAAATATATAAATTCAAGCAAATCGGAAATAGAACGGGGAAGAGAACTGATGTAAGAACATAAATTTAAATGAAAAACGTAGTCCGATCAAAGATACCTATTTCCTACGAGAATGTTCACGTTTTTACAAACTTATCTACAATTTTTTAATATTCCACCTACTTCTCAATTTATATCCCTCCTACTTCTGAATTTAGGTGTAAGAAAAATTTTTATCGACTATATATTTTTTATATTACACCCATTTCTTAAATTAAGTTTACGAATATGAATAATACCGACATGATGCCTACGAAAGAAGTTATAAGAAATAAAATATATATATATATATATATACTTACGATCTAAGAAATAAGTTTCTTAAGATATTGGTAGGAATGTATTCTTCGAGATTGTAGTATAGTTTGTTTTCTAGGAATGAATAGGAATAATGTAGGCCTTACATGTATGAAAATTGAAAATATTTTTGTTTGTAATATAGAAGTAATAAATATTGAGGAATATATAGGAGCATCACATTCATATTCATCCATTTCCTCAAGCATGGTCACCACTTGGAGCTTTAGAGTGTTCGTAGAAAAGTTTCTACCATTTTCCAACGAAACTGTTTTTTTGTAAAAAAGTCGTAGATAAGTAGTAGAAAATATTTCCTATCAAAGTTTTCGTAAGAAATTTGGTAGGATTATACAATGTTTCTTGTATTCATATTTTACAAAATCATCAACAACAAGTCGATTTGGGGATTTAGTCATTTCGTTTAAGGCAGCACGACGTCGCTTGTCCTTGTGATTCTCATTTTTCGACTTAACAGAGATCGATTAACGATCCTAAACGGCTTTTAACTCCTCTGTTAGAGAATTTTATTTGAAAACATGCTCAATCTGGCTCAGTCAACAGAAGATAGTGATTTAAAAATAACGTTAACGAGAATTCTATGATTTTAATGGCCACAAAGGAAGTCGAGGATTAAAATGGCCAAAATTTCTAAGTTCGAGATTTAAATAACATTTTTCCCATTGTTATATTCCACCTATTCCTAAATTTTTTTATTTATTCCACCTACTTCTCAAGTCAGGTGTAAGAATAATTTTATGACAACATGTTTTTTATATTCTTCCCACTTCTCAAGTTAACTGTAAGAATATGAATAATACCCAAGTAATGGCTGCGAAAAAGTCATAAAATTGGTAAGAAAGAAAAAAAATATACTTATAGTTTACCTACAATATTTATAGGAAATAAGTTTCATAAGATATTGGTAGGAATGTATTCTTTGAGATTGTACTATTCTTCCTTTTTTTTTTTAGAAATGAATAAGAATAATGAAGGTCCTACATGTATGAAAATTGAAAGATTTCGTGTAAATGGTAACGAAAACTAATGACTAAAGAGGAACATCACATTCATGTTCATTCTTTTCTTCAAAAATGGTCACCAATTATAGATGCAAAGGTTTTCGTAGAAAATTCTCTACCATTTTCCTAAGATATTTTTTCATAAAAGGGTCGTAGCTAAGTAATAGGAAAGATTTCCTATCAACGTTTTCGTAAACCAAGAAATATAGCAAGATTATATAATGTTTTCATGTAGTCACAGTATGTATCCATTGCCTCGTCTTTATTGTGTTAAACACCATTCTGTTTGTTATGATGATGTAAAGGACTAGTTTATGTAATCATAATTATTTATAATGCATTTTTTTGGTTAATTAAACTAAAATTGAGGTATATAAAGCAAAATATGATATCTTCATATTATATTGTTTGTGGAAAACTATCATAATATGAAGTAAGAAACTTTGTTACATATATTATTGGGTAATATATATGTTTTTGTTCCAACTATATCTCATCAAATTATCTCGCCATTATATTCTGTAAAATCTTATTCTTTAGAGGTTTTCCGGTTATAAATATTAAGTTGGGAACCAAAAATATAAAAATACAAAAATGACAACAGATTATGAAGAAATCAGTAGTGATCCATTCGATCCAAAATGTGTCCTTGCGAAACGTTTCTTAGAGAGGATCAAGAGGGAATAGTACGTATTATCTTATCAACAATCATATTCAGATGATAGGTCTTCAACCTCTCTCTCTCTCCCTTTCTCTCTCTCTCTCTATAAATATATATATATATATATATATATATATATTTATTTATTGATCTTTGGTTAATTTCATATAGTTTAAGTTGAGAATTTAAATTTTTAATGAGTTTAGATTGATATTTGCTAGGAATATAATTTGGATATAAAAACGCCGCCAGCAAATAGCTAGTCTGGGTTGATTTTAGTGATTTCCCCTTCATCACTCAGTCACTTAATTTTCTATCGGTGTTGTTTGTTAAAAAAGGGATTTGACGTTGATTTCTCAAAGTTCTACCCTAAAATTCTTGATGAAAGCAACTTAGACCACTATTACCAGTGGTTTCTTAGCATAAATTAAAGTGAATATTATGATTTTGTGATTGAAATTAAATGATAAATGATGTATCATGTTAAGAAACGTCTTTTAAATAAGAGACAAAACATGTGCTAAGAGACGACCTGAATAATAATAGTCAATAGCACGTTGCACGTTACAACTCATGTTACCGTTGTAGTTCATTTGTGGAGAATCATCTTCACTATAAGATACAGCAAAATTATGTGAATTTACTCTTAAAACAGTGTATCTCATGTACTACTAAGTAATTACTTATGGTATTAAACATATTAAAGCATCGTCTCTTTACATCTGAAGCATGGCGAGCAGATTGTTATGTAATGGATCAGAGACATGGTCAAATGCTTTTAAGTCATTCTCTCATTTGTTCTTACAAATTCTTTAAGTCATTCTCTGTAACTTTCTCTTTCAGTCCAAAATAATTACTTGTTCTCCTCTCCATCATTCGCTTTTGTTCTTACAAACTCAATACCAAAAAAAACCAAACTTTTTCTATATGTCATTCTCTTTTGTTCTTACAAACTCAATACAAAAAAAAGCACTCTTTTGTTCTTACAAACTCAATACAAAAAAAAACAAACCAAATTTGTATGTCATTCATATTTCTTTTGATGTGTCATATGGGGATGAATTGATGCTTTTAACACATTGTTTGTGTCTGTTATACCAAGAATATGAACAGATTAATAATTATTTGAGGTTAATGTGTTACCAAGAACTTGACTTCGTGATCGAGATATGCATCAACAATTGAAGAAGGATTTGGTTGAGTATATATATGGACAAAATTTTCTCGAATCAAGTTTAAAACTATTATATTTTATGTTCTTTATGTTATAAATTGTATCTTATGTATGTTTTAAAATTTTAAATTTAAAATAATTATAAAGTTTTCAAAAATTACAAATTTTAATTTAATTTAATTTTTAAATACATAATTTTTTTTTTCTAAGAACCCCAAATTAAGAACATACCAATAAAGACATCTCAAAACTAAAAACTAAAATACAAATCTTAACTCTTACTTTTTCATATTTAATAATAAACTAATACTAAGATTTAAATTTAAGAGCTTATGGATAATGTTGCTCTTAGCTCCAAAACCAAGAACTGATAGATAGTATGGGCTAATGAAGCCATTGAGCGTTACAACAAAAGAGAGTTGAGGTGACAAAACTCTATTTAGTTTGGAAACAATGTCAAGGATCCTTGTAATGAATACCAATTGTACTGAGGTGATAATGAGGTCATAACCATATTAAATCGCCTATCTCTGGAGCAACCTGGTGAAGGTGCGCGGATGCAGTGAAGACCAATCATTTTCATGTATCTATAAGAAAACCTGTATTTTGGGACTAAACTTTGTGACGCTTATTTTAGTCGCAAATATGAGCGACCATTTTGCAACTTAACTAAGACACTTTACCGACTACATAAATAATCAAGGCAAAATCGTTGCCAACTTGCGACGACATGAATTAGTCGGTAACACGTCTCTTATGTACGACGCTTAACCGACGATGGTGTAACCAATCTATATGGTCGCAAAATAATAGCAATTTCAGACTACTTAGTAACTAAACTTATAGTAAGAACGAAAAGTAGCAAATTCATGTCCATTTTTTAGCGACCATCTGTTACAGTCGTTAAGTAGTCACACAGATCTCAATCTAATCGAAGAAGAGCCTCATTACGGAATTAACATCGAGAAGCTAGGGCCCAAGTAGTGAATCTAATTAAGTTTATTTTTCAAAAACACAATAAAATTTTCTTCTGATTATTAACAGTTCAACAGGACCCCCCTCGAATCAGACAAAGAAGGAAGAGTTGGGCACCTCTCCTTTTAGTCGAGTCATTTATACCTCTCGGGAGTAGGGGCTTTGTTCTGGGGGGGCCGACTTGCGCTGCTTTAGAAGGGAGAGAATTTCATAAAGTCACTCTCTCTATCTATCCTTAGAAGTAGGCGATAGAAAGTCTATGATCGAAGTAGGTGTTTGCGATCATTTTATGATGTTAGTCGGTGTCGCAAATGACATGTTCTCATGTATATATCCAGCCGATTTGAGAAACCAGTTCCAAAGATATGGGAACTGCGTGTTCTATTGGTTGCTTTGGGGTACTAGGCAAAGACATTTTTTGGGAAAGATAGTTTCATGTCTATTATAGTACACGAACAATATTTATTAAATCAATGTTGTACGATATGATTACCAAACATACCTGGTTTATGTTAATATGTGTACATATATTAGTATAAGAATTAAGACATTCATATCTTGAATGTTATATCACAATACGTAAACTTATAGAATTGGCTATTACATAACTGGAATGACCCGGCAAAAACAACTAATCACGTATGATCTTGCCTCGTGGTTCAAATAAGTTTGATACATTTTTTAAGGAAAAAACATCTTAACAAGCACAAAATTTATAATTTTAATTCGATATAGACTGATACTGGTGCATCTCTATTATAATTTTTAAATTCCATCACAAAATTTATTAAAAATTCCTTACCAACCAAAAACCACATGCTACCAGCTGGTATGAACCTGGAGTACTTAAAATAATATTTTATTCCAGTTGTTTTTGTAAATTAATAAAGTTTAATTTTGCAGAAAACATAGATCTGTCGTGATATATTAAAAATATAAAGGCATATGACCAATTTATATTATTAAACGTCTATTTATTTTGTAACCAATGCAAAAGACACAAATCTTGTTTATATCCAATATAGAGAGAGCAACCAAGATTTTGCCTACTCTTCCTCAATGGCGTTAAAGGTAACCAAGATCTCCCGAGTCAACCCAACAAGAAACTCTTCTCATGACTCAAACAACTCACTGGTTTACCCACTCACGTTCTTCGACTTACGGTGGTTAAAGTTTCATCCAACCGAAAGAGTCATCTTCTACAAACTCAATACAAACTCATCTCCCGAGTCATTCCACTCTATGATCCTCCCCAAGCTTGAGCACTCTCTTTCTATCGTCCTTGGCCACTACCTCCCGCTCGCAGGCCGCCTCACGTGGGATCCAAAAGATCCTAAGCCTTATATAGTCGTCTCTACGCAAGATTCTGTCTCATTGACAGTTGTGGAGAGCGACGCTGATTTTTCCCGTATCTCGGGGAAAGGGCTACGGCCTGAGACCGAGATACGCGCCTTGGTGCCCGAATCTTCGGTTTTTTGTGAGTCCCCCTCTCTTCTTTCATTGCAAGTCACGTTTTTTCCGAACCAAGGGTTTTGTATTGGTGTATCAGCTCATCATTCTATTATGGACGGCAAAACAATGGTTAGGTTTATTAAATCATGGGCTCACATATGTAAACATGGTTCCATGGATTTGCCAAATGATTTAACTCCATTTTTAGATCGTTCGGTTATAAATGTGCCCTCAAGTCTCGATGCAAAAATCTTGGAACTTTTGTCATACTTTTCAAAAGAGAAAGATAACTTCAAATCATTGAAGTTGGTTCCTATCGAGGAGATAAGCCCGGACTACGTCCGGGTCACGCTGGAGTTGAATCGAGAGAATATAGAGAAGCTTAGGGAGCGAGCCAAGAGGGAGTCAGCTCGCTCCCATCTTGAGCTTCACTTATCAACGTTCGTTATAGCCAACGCTTATATGTGGACATGCTTGGTGAAGACGCGTGGGGGAGATGTGAATAGACCAGTGCGTTTCATGTATGTTGCTGATTTCAGAAACCGGTTTGATCCACCGGTTCCTGATACGTATTTCGGGAACTGCGTGTTCCCGATCGGTTGCTTTGGTTACAAGGCGGATGTATTTTTGGGAGAAGATGGATATGTAACCGCGGTCGAAATTTTAAGTGATTCGATTAGAAGTATTGGTTCACAAGAAATGGAAACAATTTGTGACTTGTACATTGATGGAACAAAGAGTGTGAAACCGGGTACACAAACAAGCTCCATTGCTGGTTCGAACAGGTTTGGTCTCTACGGGTCAGATTTCGGGTGGGGAAAACCTTGTAACAGTGAGATTGTGTCCATAAACCGTAACGAGGCAATTTCTATGTCGGAGAGGACGGGTGAGTCCGGTGGTGTGGAGACCGGTTTGTGTTTGAAGAAATGTGAGATGGATATATTTCTTTCTCTATTTCAAACTGGTTTAGAAATTGTGAAAAACTGAGTTTTAAAAATTTACGAGATTTGTTTCTTTTTATGGAAATGTTTTGTGGATGCTATAACGATTGAAGTCTCTAACGTTTCTTTACTATATAACCGATCGGTAATCATGAACCTGGACTGGTATAGCATTTACACATTGAGGTCTTGGTTTGTTCCTATGTTACTTAAACTTTTATAAACATCAAGATATGTGTTTTAGATTACAATTAAAACTAACCCAACTAGGTACGTTTTGTGCAAAACAAGACTGCTAAAATAATTAACCTAAGAAGTACTCTATAAAGAAATACATATTTTAATGTGCTGATGACAATTAGTGATGACAATTAATTGGGTGAAACAATTAAGATAATCAGTAGTGACTACTACAGCCAACCAACCATATAGAGTAAGTGTCTGTTTTATCATTGTTTATTTGGATTTCTTGTTTTGGGTTGTTAGTTGTGACAATAGGGTCAAAATTTTATGTATTCCTTTACTCATGGTTTCTTTTTGGTCATGATTCAGTATATTCCCAAGAATTTTGTAACCAACTCAAACATCTAAATTTGTTCCTATATCAACACACCGAAATTTTTATTTTCTCTTAAATTTCCAAAAAAGTAACATATTCGTCGATTGAAATACAAAAGTATCATTCGAACATCGCTAAACATATATATGAAATAGTTTTGAAGAGTAAGGTTTAGTGTTTAGAGTTTGAAATTTTATTTTGAAAGTTTAATTATGAAATATAATGCTATTTTTGTAATTTTTGTCCAAAAAAAAAGAGTTTGAAATTTTATTTTGAAAGTTTAATTATGAAATATAATGCTATTTTTGCAATTTTTAGGAGTGTGTGCTAAATTTGGATACAAAACTTGTTTTGGTATTATTAATGAGAATTACCCAATATTTAAAGCAAGATATGTTGTCAATGATTATAGCCAGCCATACATGCTGTCTTTATAATATGCGACATACTATTGTAACTTTTCAAGATAGTACATTACTAAATTAATCAAATAAGTTTTTAATAAAGACAAAAGGTAGATCACCGCAACAATCATACTAAACATGAAATCATTCCCACCTACTAATTATCAGTGGCGGACCCTGAAATCTTTTTTATTAGAGTCAAAACATAACTTAAAGTTATATTTAATATAATATAAAAAATATCCTACAAAACTACTTTACGACTTTTCATGTCCTGAAATCTCTTCATCATAGTTTCATTTGCAATAGTATTAAATATATATTTTCGATAAAGCAAACTAAACAATCATTCAAAAATTGATCTCTGATCCGATGGCGGCGATGAGTCTTCACGATCTTCATTGCTTAAAAACATCTTCATTTTGTTAAGCTGTGTAATTGAAGTTTTCACACTTCATTACCGCGTTCTTATGGAAACCTCATATAGCATGTCCTGAAACTGTATCAAACTTATTCCAACAAGAAAAACCTACAGTGCTCCATGCTTCATTTGTGCCTCCCCTACCAACGTTATCTCTGAAAAAATAAAAACATAGACAAAAAGCAGTCTCTATTTCCACACTATACTCTAACCAATTTTGAAACATAACAAACCAAGCTACGTTAAAACGCCTAGGTACACCACTTATAACTTTTTGTTTAAAATCATGACCTCGAGGTTGGCAAGGACCTCTAATCAAATATTTGTGAATTAGCTCATCTCTTTGATTTGGATGATAATCTACAATCCTTTTTCTGTCGGCATGATCCCATGGTAAAATCGGGGATGGATCTTTTCTTTTTAAACAAATTTCTCATTGTTTGCTGCATTTTTCTGAAATAAAATCATTAAAACTATTTTCAATACAAATAAAATTTAACCGATAATAATGATAAAATAAATCTAGTGTTAATCTCTCCAATTTTGCATCTACGAGTTGCAAATTTAGCACCGCCATGCTTTTGATTGTGTACATGACATAGACAGCCAAACACACGTAAATGATCCATATGAGGTTGTCTGTTGTAAATCATATTAGGGATAACAATATTCCACATTGGAAGTTGGAGAATATATTAAGTAATATATATAGGGTTAGGGTAAATCTACTCATTGCCAATTGGTTTTGTGTTATAAGCCCATGTTAAAGCCCGAATCTAATATGGTATCAGAACCCCGTCTGCACAAACTCAACCCAATCCACAATCGGTCTGGCCTAATAGTTGGCCCACCGATTCATGCCCAAACATACCGAGATTTATGGCGAAAATAGCCATAATCTCGAGGGGGCATATTAGGGATAACATGCAATATCTCACATTGGAAGTTAAGTAGGAGTGGTATATATAAGATATGGGTCTCTCCACTCATTGCCAATTGGTTTTAAGTTGGAAGCCCACAATCTAATAGATCATCTCAATTGGAGTTCTTCCTTGGAGAATAGATGTGGGATATCTATTGATAAGATACCCGGTTTGTGGTACTTTTGGAAATGAAAACAAATTGTGGTATTTTTGGAAGAAAAAGTAAAATAACGGTATTTGAGGGAATTTCTCTAAAATATATTTGTAAACGTGTGGAAAGGTTTTAAATGTAATATGTGAAAAATAATTTTTATTTAATTGTTTAGATTTAAAGCCATATTTTTTACCTTTTAAAAAAATAAGAAACAAATAAGGGAAAAATGATTTAATGCTTTAGAAAAAAGTAAAAGCAAAAAAATTTGACTGACAAAAAAATTTGATTTGTAAAGATTTTAAAAATATTTAAAGCTTCATGTTCAATGGTAATACTTTGAATGGGAAATTTTGTGAGCTATGCCATTTTTGAAACTCAAAATTGTTATTATGCCATTATGAAAAACATCTTTCAAAACGTGCCACAAAGGGGGAAGTTTGGACGATTTTGCCCTCAACATTGTTGAGTGAGTTTTGGACACAAACATCTTTCAAAACGTGCCACAAACATCTTTCAAAGCTATATACGTATGATGGACAACAAATTAGGAAACAAAAATAGACATATTACAGACATCGAATCTGGTCCACCGGATGTAGTCCACCGGTTCTAGTCCATCTACACACATGTGTGATCCAAAGTGTACATCTAGATAGATCTTTGATGGATATCTTATATATATGCATCACTTGTTTCATCTTCTACTCAATTATTTGTGGTTTCAAGAGATCTGTAGGATCGACAAGTTTGGTTTACCGATTCGGATCCATCATATCTGGTCCATCGGATCTCGTCTGTCGGAACTGGTCTATCTAGTCCGCCGAATCTGTTCTACCGGAACTGGTTAAAGTTCGTCGGAACTGACTATGGTCCGCCAAATCTCGTCTATCGGAACTCGTCTTTCTAGTTGGTCGAAAATGGTCCGCCGAATCTGGTCTGTCAGAACTGGTTATAATTCACCAGAACTGACTGTGGTCTGCCGAAACTCGTCTACTGGAGTTATAGTTTGTCGGAACTGGTCCGTCGAATCTGGTCTGCCGAAACTGGTCTATGAAACTGGTTATAGTTCACCGGAATTGGATATGGTCCACCGGATCTGGTCCGTCAGAGTTCGTCCGTCGGATATGGTCCGTCGGAGTTCGTCCGTCGGATTTGGTCCGTCGATATTGTTTGTTGTTGGAACAAGAAAAAAAAAGATGAAGATGAAGAAGAAGAGAGAAATAATGAAAGAAAAGAAAATAATTGTGTTTTGAGATTTTCATTGAGGAGAGGGATAAGATAGTCTTTTTACATTGCCTCTATGGCATGTTTTGAAAGAAGTTGTGAAAAATGGCATTCTACATAACTTTTGCCACTATTCATGTCATTCCCCATAATTTTCTCCTTTGAATGAGTGTCTAAAACAAATAATTTGATTTTTTAAACAAATGGGTGATTAAATGGGTGTGTAAACTTAACAAAAGTGTCTAAAATAAAGCACATTAGACAAATAAGTGTCTAAAATTGGATCTCAAAATCAATTAATTCAAATTTTTACTTTTTAAAATTCACTTTAAGACACCCCAATTATTACCATTGTACATGCCCTTAAAAGTGTGCTACCAATGGGCGTAGTGTCTTTTAACCCATTTGGTAGAAATGTATATCAGTGTATAACTTCAATCAATATTTTTTACTTTTTTCCACACACTTCACATCATTGACATTGCCCGAGTCATCCCTGCCGTCCACTCAGACTCGGCCAGCTTACTCATCATCCCCTTAACTTTCTTCGACCTACCATGGCTACTATTCCACCCAGTCAAACGAGTCTTCTTCTACAAACTCACCGAGTCGACCCGTGAGGACTTCAACAACTACCTCCCTCTCACCGGCCACATCACATGGAACACAAACGAACCCAAACCAAGCATTGTTGTCGCTCTAAACGACGCCATTTCGGTGACAATAGCCGAGAGTGAAGCTGACTTTTCTCATATCTCCGTCTATGAACAACGTCCTGTCTCCGAGTTGCATGCCTTGCTTCCCAAGTTACCAGTTACTGACGACTTAGCCACCGCCTTCTCCATACAAATTACGTTGTTCCCGAACCAAGGAATCTCCATAGGCGTCGCAGGACACCACGCCGTTTTAGACGGGAAAACGTCAAGTACGTTCATCAAAACTTGGGCTCAAGTCTGCAAACAACAACTTGAGAACATACCGGAGAGTTTAACTCCGTCTTATGACAGGTCGTTGATCAAAGATCCGACCAGACTCGGTGAAAAGATGATAGAGATGGTGAGATCTCTCAAACATGACAAACCTAACGCTGTCGTGAGCTTGACTCCGTTCCCCGCAAAATACTTGGAGCCGACGTCGTGTTGGCCACGCTCGTGCTCTCTAAGGATGACATCGAAAGACTCAGGGAACGAGTCAAGAACGTTTCACCAAGCCTACACTTGTCTACTTTTGTCATTGCTTATGCTTACGCGTGGACATGCTACGTGAAGGCGCGTGGAGGAGATGGAGATGTTGGCTTCTTTAAACCCAAGCCAACTTTCCATTAGTATGATATTGTCCGCTTTGGGCTTATAACTCAAGCCCGCACGGTTTTGTTGGGCTCCTTCCCAAAAGGCCTCATACTAATTGGAGTTGGACTTGACT